AGCACTGCTTTTTAAGTGAGCATGGTATTGTTGTAAGTCATATACTGGGGATCTTTGATTAGTGTAATAAACCAGTTAACTTAAGATCATTAATGATGAAATTACCCCATCATTATAGCCAAATAGATTATATTTCTGTTGATTTCTTGAAATTAAAGCTATTTTTTGTTTTGTTTTATTTGGTTAAACCAGGGTACTCCTGTTTTTAATGAAATGAGAGAGCTAAAAATCATTGTCACTAATTACGGAAGATACTTATTATACTAAAGATGATCTTTCGTTCTGTTACTCAAATTGAAAAATCAATATAATGGATTCCAATCTTCTTCAAAAAATCTTTTATAACCTGCATGCACAGCTGATCTTCTATAGAACAACCCAATTGGTTGGTTGTTCTTAAGTGCAAAGGGCTATTTATACTCTGCCCACAACAGGTATCGAAACCTGATTTTGAGTGTTGTAAGTCTGCAGCCTTAATGCTGAACCACTGGGGAGGGGGAGGGCAGAAAAATATAGACAGAAATTAAAGTGCTAACTTATTTTACCTTATAATTTTCACGTATGTTTTAGAAGTAAGACTAGAGGTAAAATTACTAGCAATTCGTTTAAAGTTTCAATATATACAATTTCTTTGAAATTAAGCACAAAGCTACACAAATAGCTATCTGTTCTTCGCCCATCACGGGTATCAATAGCTGGTTTTTGACGTTGTTAGTCTGCAGACATACCTATGTGCCACTGGAGGGCTTTTATATACAGTATTTTAAACGTACAGGTTATACACATATAGGAGTCACAAAAAATGAGTAATTCCAACTAAGTGGTCAACTTATATTTAGTTAGACACATTATTACAGAAAATAAATTGAATAAACTGGACAAGGCACTTGTATTTTTTATTGTATTCATAAAAGCGGTCACCTTGCTTTTATGCTGCTGTAAGTTTATCAACATTTGATTGAATTATTGCAAAAAGGGGCTTGTATTATTCCCCACCGTTCAATTAACATTCTTAGTTTATATGTAAGCCAATACAGTTTTTAATAAATCTCATAAAAATATAGTATCACGTAAAAACATTCTGAAGTATTTAGTGTCACCGTTAAAGAGTTTGGGCTTTTTACCTCATCCGCTTTTAAACCGACGTACCCTCTTCATAGTTTCCAGTCAGCTCTTACATAAACATAATGTTTCACCTCAATCTGTCGAATACAGTCGCGTTCACTAGACAACACTTATTTCTAACATGTTTATCATGTAAAATTTCTATCTTGGAACTCATAAGTGAATTCATCGCACTACTGCGAGGAATAGTATGAATGCTGGTGCTCTTTTAGGAACTTTGGTGATATGAGAATGCCTGATTGCCTAGATGACAGCCAATCACAGTGTAAGTTATCAGCACATGACTGTACTCTGGCACAGTTCATTTTAATTCAATATAGGGGTGAATACCACCATAGTTGCATTTTATACCCATATAAAATATTTATTTATTTCCAATGCTGTGTGTTGTTAATAATTATAAAATACCTAAAACTAAGTGGTGATTAGAAAGAGTTTAAATAGTTTGATATCAGTTTTTGTTTTTGTTCAATAATTTACAGATATATTTGTTTGTTTGTAGTTAAACACAAAGGTACACTGTGGGCTATATGTGCTGTGCCCACCACGAGTATCGAAATCCGATTTGTAGCTAAGCCTCTTTTTGGCTTACCTACACACATATATATAAATATATACATCTATATAGATAGGTAGATTGTTCATTCATTAAATGATTAATACATGAATTGCTTGTGAAATTTAGATGAAATTATGAAAAGGATCAAGCTATGTTACCACAACATTTGAGAAGTGATGAAAAATTAAGATACTATTAGGTTTATGATAATAACAATGGCACAGAAAAACACTTAAAACATTTTAAATATACTTTGTAGTAAATTATTCTACGTTAGAACCTTTAGACAGTTTATATATTTTGTCGATAAAGTCCCCCGTGAAAGTTATTGTGTTTAGTCCAGAATTAGTACTACGTGTTTATTATTCCTGTAAAATTGAGTTACTGTGTAGTTAGGTTTTATGCAGTTGTAAAACAAAGTCATGCCTTTTGTTTGATGTGTGTAGAATGAGTAAGTTTTGTTTTTGAATCTCGCGCAAAGCTACACGAGGGCTATCTGCGCTAGCCGTCCCTAATTTAGCAGTGTAAGACTAGAGGGAAGGCATCTAGTCATCACCACCCACCGCCAACTTTTGGGCTACTCTTTTACCAACGAATAGTGAGATTGACCGTCACATTATAACGCCCCCACGGCTGAAAGGGCGAGCATGTTTGGTATGAGAGGGAATCGAACCCGCGATCCTCAGATTGCAAGTCGAGTGCCTTAACCGCCTAGCCATGCCGGGTCGGGTTCTATGGACATTTATTTATTATATGCTTATGGTGTACTAAAAGTATGGCTACTCTGAAACGTAAATACCGTATTGCTCCTACTTAACACCCCCGGGGGCGCTGCGAACTGCAAAGGGGCGCTAATTATAGTACTTGTGCAGTTCCGGTTTCTATTTTTCACATGCGATTTGTTGAGTTCAATTCTAATAAGTGTGTGTGTTTGTTTTCTTCTTTTTTTAAAACCAGCATTCCGGTAATAAAGTGGATTATATGTTGGATTACTATTGTTGTCACACAAAGTAAGTTTTATAAAAAAAATAGCTGGGGGGGCGTTAATTAGGGGCAATACTATAGTTTATAACAAAGTCTGGTGTCCCGTTTTTATGATCTCTGTAGTATATCCTGAACACAAACTCCAGTTAATTTTTCGTTATCATTTTGATGAGATTAGACCCTGAAAAAGAACAGCAGATAAGTTTAACTACGTTTTCTCTGACTTTATTTATTTTTTGTTATAAAATATTTGGAAATATATTACCCTCACAGAAATTAAATTTTGTGTTCAAGTCACTGTATATAAAAAGAAATCATGAATGACATGCAATACTAACATTATTCAGAAGTTTCCAAGTTGTCAGATTCAAAAATACTCTTCACGTGGTGTTAACATAGCACTCCTAACGATACGTTGGATAGACACTTATAATTGGGGCTTGGCATGGCCTGGTGATTAGGGCACTCTACTCGCAATCTGGGGATTGCGGGTTCGAATCCCTGTCATCGAACATGCTAGTCCTTTCAGCCGTAGGAGAATTATAATGTGACGGTCAATCCCACTATTCGGTGGTAAAAGAGTAGCGCAAGAGTTGGCGGTGAGTGGTGTTGACGAGTTGCCTTCCTTTTATTTCTATCACTGTTAAACTAGGGACGGATAGAACAGGTATTTCTAGAGTAGCTTTGTGCGAAATTCAAACCAAACCAAACTTATAATGGGTGTTAATATAGCATTGCTACCTGTAACAAGACATCTATACTGTGTGTTAGCATAACACTCCTAACAGTACTTTGGATAAACACTTTAAACGGGTATTAATTTAACATTTTGCTTGTAACAAGGCACCTCTACTGGGTGTTAACATATATATAACATTCCTTCTAGTATTTATGAAAACATATTAATTGGGTGTTAACATAACATTTCTAAAGTTACTTAGGAAGACACCTTTATTATGTGTTAACAACACTGTTGCCGGTACTTTTCAAGACATCTATACTGTGTGTTAGCATAGAATTCTTATCAGCACTTGTCAGGACGCCAATACTGGAGGCTAGTATAGCATTGTTACTAGTACTTTTCTATACTGGGTGTCAGTATAACATTCTTATTAGTACTTGTCAAGACACCTATAATGGGGGTTATTATTGCATCCTTACTAGTACTTGTCATGATGCCTAGACTGTCTGTTAGTATAGCAGATTAAGTGTTTTCTATTGAAATAACTTGATGTGAATCATCTGTAAAAAGTTGTTTCGGTGCAACGAGTGCTGTTTTGTTTATTGTTCTAGTTTTTATAAACTTCTCCAACTTAACTGAGTACCAAACACAAACACTAGAGCACTATTAAGTAGCATAGTCAATTAGATTTTTAAAAAACTAACGCATTTATGAGTATTTATTATTTTATGGAAACAAATCATTTCAATGTGTTTTATGGCGCTGTTTTCATTAATGGAAACTACTGGTTCAATGAGACAATAATCGTCCAATCTTGTGCTGTCTTTTTAGTGAATACAACTGGTTAAAGCGGATGATAACCATCCAACCAGTTTCTGGATCGTTAGTGAATACCATTGGTTCAATAAGATAATAATCAAGCAATGTATTTCTGGCTTATTTAGTGATTTTAATATTTTTGATTCAAGCAGATGATGACCATCCAACGATATCCCTGCAATTATGGCTTATCCGCATATCTAAAGTGCTCTGCAGTGTAAAACTATATACAGGGGTACATCTTACGGAGTCATACAAATTAAACTTGTTTACAAGGAAATGATAACGCTGGATTTTTAACACTGGAAAGATTCTCAGTTCTCACAAGAGAATAGATATAACAAAAATGTTCACTGAAATGAAAATGAAATTTATAAAATCCTTTATGTAAGGGGGATACGAGGCAGATAAATACGCAAGTTTTTATGCACCTTCGGAGAATGGTATATTCTACAAAGGCGCAGAATTATCACATTTCTAGGTTAATCATTATTAAACAATTAGAAAGCATGTAAGCGTAGTCTTTAGGATTCGAACAGTTCAATAAAACAATTCCGATTGTGTTTGCTTGTGTAACCTCTTTCGCTTCTTTTCTCACAGAAATCTAAACCTACTGTGCAGAGATCGCATTGCCGACGTCACATCTTCGTCAAGGTGTATCTTTGAACCATTATTCGCAATGACCTACTTCGTAACCACCAACTCTTCAATATTACAACAAAGAAATCGCAATGAGAATTGGCACACGAGGGCAGCACGTATAGCAGGCAAGTTTCCAATAGCTCATTCTCTGTCGGCGGCGACAAGATCCACAAGCTTCATTGTCTTCACACCAACAAGGCGAACTTTCCCAGAAAGATTCTCCTCAGAAATATGCTACGGTGTTAACACTGATTCAGGTGGATCTCAGACTTAAGCTAGAAATTGTCACTCAACCGACTCTTCTGCTGTATCAACCTTCGTTTGTTGAACAAGCCTCTACAAGTTGGGCGTATTGAGCAAGTTGCTGAATTCGCGTTCAAGGAGAGGACCACGCCCACAACTCGTGCAAGCAGTCACGACAGTGTCAGTTCGCAGTACATAGTCCACCAGTGACGTCCCCAATCACTGCTAATATGTCGGACACTCCTACCGGCTCTCCCTCTGTCGTTCGTAAAGTCCGAACAACACAAGGATTGTGGCCGCCAAGGGTAGGCTTCCAGTGTTTTGACGACAAAACTAAAGACTTCATTTAACTAAAAATCTTCCATCCTAAATTATGACATAAAAATGCATGTCTAGTGATATTATTTAGTTTATAAACATAATAATAATAAGATATATCGTTTACACTTCTAATTAGATTTTAACCCAATAAAAAAACTTTTTTATGGATTTTAAACTCGACTATATAAAACATGCAGCCAAGAATAACCAAACAATGCTTTTCTTGTTTTAAAATATTTATGCAATTTTTTCATCTCCATCATAGATAATGTTTAATCTTTTTAATCAAGAATTACTTAATATTTTTACTGGCTTTGACGATGTGGAAAAATAAGTAATATGAAAGTTATAATTTTCAGAGCTCAAATCAACATTAAAATTCTTGTTTTGTCGAGGTTCTGTATACTTATGGTACGATTTTCAGGGTTCTAGTGTTCAAGATCTTCCAAAAACTGGATTTTCTCCTGGGTGGATCCGAGAAGGTGGGTATTTGCCAACAAGTTTCAATTCTGTAAAATAAATAATGGTCTCTTTCTTTCTTTAACATGGTCGCAGTATTTCAACAATTTCAATGACTCGTTTAAACTTTATTCAACGATTTAATACATCTGTCTTCCCGTCGTGTATAATTTTTATACAGAAACGGAGGAGACATTTTTAGGGCTTGTTTGGGCTGGCTAAAGGCAGTATACATCTAAACCTGATATTTAGTGTTATAAGCCCTCATATCATCCACCGGAAAGTAAAAGTAAACAAAGTAAGTTTTATTAAAACAAAAGTGTAAGCATTTTATAAATTAATTTTGTAATTAAAACATGTTAAGACGGAGAAGATGCTGAAATTAAACTGTTAGAACAAAAAAGGAGTTATTACGATGTTGTTTTTCTATTTCATTCCATCACCCTTCCGTCTTTATTTGCAGTCTGATCTTGAGTGTATATAATGTTTTTGGACAATGTTTCAAATACTTGTTTCTTTTGTTTCTGTTTTACTTCGTCATCATTCCGACTTCAGTTGATGTCTGATTTTAAGTGTATCAAATAAAATCGTAGTTTTATAGCCACAGTAAAAAATGAAGAGGAAAAACAAAACTACTGTAGTATTTTTTATTACATAGATTGCTCATTACACATAACGTCATACACAACTAGAACTGTTCTGCAAACTTTCATGCACCAGCTTTGCCTACTTTGACTCTAGTGTCACCTAGAGTTTTATAGAAAATTTCAAAATTTTGAGTGTCCAAACCTTTGTCCAATAATAAGAAATATTGGTGTATTATTTTTCTTAGTAGTATGTCTGTGAAGTGGAGAGTTCAATGTGCACACTTCTGCAAGTTTTGACTGTCAGAAACTTTAAATCTGCTTTAATAAGCCCCTCACGAGCCAGTGGGGGATATTTTTGTTGAAAAAAAAACATTACCCAGTGCGGTTTTTCTTAATTTGAACTGAAGTTTTTGAGACATTTTTATTGGCTAAAAAGAAGGCATTTCCCGCACTCTTTTAGCGTTGGGCCTGCGAAAAGTGATTTGATGTGGTAAGGTGACTGAAATCCGTCAGCGCATCACGAGCTTAACGGCTAAGCACAAGAAGTATGAAAGTCTCCAAATGACACGCAGAGATATTCAGGAACAGTTTAGAACCACCTTGATAGATGTTGTCCAGCAAGCCGAATACAATATTATGCCTGTAGTTGCTTTCAAAGTGTTCCTGTCTGCTCATCCTAGTGCTGACTATCGGGATGATTCGACCTTCCCTGCCGAATCGCCTATGATAACTGATAAGAAAACACAGTAAATTCAAGTAGCTGGTCTTTCCACTGTCTATGATAACTGATTAGGGAACACAGTAAATTCAAGTCGCTGGTCTTTCCACTGTCTATGATAACTGATCAGGGAACACAGTAAATTCAGGTCGCTGGTCTTCCACTGTCTATGATAACTGATTAGGGAATACAGTATATTCAATTGAAAGCTAAACATAAAAAGGTGATAGCAAAAGCATAAAAGGTTGGCAATTGCTTAATTAGTGATGCTGAGAATGTAGCTTTATGGATATATATATACTGAATTTACTCCCAGCGGGTAGACCTTAGTACTAGCTAGTATGAAGACTTGAGGGTGTTGTATTTAACTTTTACATTTATCAATTAACAAACGAAAACTTGTCTCGAAATTGTCTCAAAAAGATTCGTCCAAAACCACCCTCTTTGGGAGTTTCCGGATTGAACTTACTTTTAATATTCAACAAATTGTAGTGTAACGACACCTCTTGGCTCTTAAGGAACATGTTAAAATTGCTTTAAAATTAACCTGTACTTCGCCAATATTCACCACTACAAAAAATATAACATGCTATGTCAGTGTTGAATTAAAAAAAGAACATTTTAGTTTTTGCTAAAAAATACAAAAAAATTAAAATTATGCTTTAGCCCAAACACTAGGTGATATCTTGTAAACTTGCCATTATCATTGCTTAGCGTCTAATTCACCACATCAAATTTTACTAAGCATAACACCGTGATGATTATTAGATGACTGAAAAAAAGGACTCAAGCGTTTTCGAGAGGATATGATGTTTCCGGACAGTGTTTTAAATACCTGTTTCCTGTATTCTTATTTCATTCCGCCATCTTTCCGATTTCCGTTACTATCCGATCAAGAGTGTATATAATCTTTCTCTTACAATGTTTCAAATACCTGTTTCTTATGTTTCTATTATATTCCGACATCTTTCTGACTTCCGTTGCAGTTCGATCCCGAGTGTATGTAATCTTTCCCTTACAGTGTTTTAAATACCTGTTTCCTATATTCCTATTTCATTCCGCCATATTTCCGATTTCCGTTGCTACTCGATCACGAGTATATATAATATTTCCCTTACAATGTTTTAAGTACCTGTTTCTTATGTTTCTATTCTATTTCGTCATCTTTCCGAGTTTTGTTGCTGTCTAACTATGAATGAATATAATATTTCCTGTACAATGCTTTAAGTATTTGTTTCTTATGTTTTTATTATATACTGTTACCTTTCTAACTTCAAGCTACAAGCCCCTATTTTGGCTCCATGCTGTTACGTAGAATTACATTTGG